AGTCGCGCCCGGGGCGGGAGAGGGGGGGTCTGTCTGCTCCGTGCTGGTCGGTGCTCAGGTTGCCAGTGTCCCCAGTCGCGCGGCAGGTCGCTAAGGCGCCGTTAGTTGCGTCCTTTTGTGAGGGAAAGTGCGGGCTGACCTGTGAGGAATGGTCTGGGCGCAGTGATTCAGCAGCGCGCACTGGTGCCAAGTGTGCAGGAAAATACTCTGATTTCCAAACCTTTTTATAGTTCAGATCTGAGGCACGTAACTGCAGCAATAATCTAGTAGAGTGCCCTGTGGGGATTAATGATTTTACCATTTTGAAACTGGCTCACTTTATACTGCATGTGGTGTGCCATGTCCCTAAGCCCTCCATTTAGAAATGTATGAGGAACCTGGGGCTGCATGTGGAGAGCGTGCCAGGAGACTCTCCAGAGAACCATTTCATTCCATTGTTAGTTGACTTTCTCTTCTCTGCAGGAACCCAATAGCAGCTATTCATTGAAGCTGAGAAAATATAGAAGAATGTCTGTAAATAATAATTTTGCTCTGGTTTTATAGCCACATCCTTTTTCTCTTCCCAGGAATTTTATGGTTACAGGCTTGCAAGATATTGACAAGTGCCGCCAGCAACTTCATGATATCAGCGTACCTTTAGAGGTTTTCGAGTAAGTACCTTTACATGTAGGGATCAACCTCCTCATATCAAATTGCAGCGGTTAATCTTCTATTAGATGTTTTCATGCATTTTTTTTATGTTTTGCAAATTTGATTTAAAATATCCCTAAAGTATTTGAAAGAAAAAGAGTAAGTCAAATTATGAATTATCCATCTATTTTCAGTCTGTCTATTTTGTTATCTGTTTGCATAAAATTGCATAATGAGAGGCTGGGAGAGGGAGCTCTTCTCTAATTCAGTGATTTAGTCCATAGCTTTCTATCTCAATCTGGCTCTTCAGTCTGGATTCAAATCTTACTTTAAATTACAAGGGGAAAAGAGTATAGTGGTTTTTTTAAATCAGAATCCCTGTTTTCGTACATCATAATCACTGTGCATATGTACATACTTGACAGTGGTCTGTTAATTAGCCTCAAACTAGATCACTAAGGGTACGTCTACACAGCAACATTATATCGAGATAACTAGCGTTATTTCCAAATAACTTAGTCCGTGTCACACACAAGGCAGTTATTTCAAAATAATATCAAAATATTGTCAATCTGGAGGACTTCTTATTCTGATTCGTGTAACCATCATTGTATGAGGGTAAGGGAAGACGGAGGAAGAGTGCTCTTTTTCAAAATAAGTGCTGTGTAGACAGACACTCCCAATTTTGAAATAAGCTACACAATTGACGTAGCTCAGTGTTCGTAGTTTATTTTGAGTTAAGCCCTGCTGTGTAGATGCATCCTAAGGCTGTGTCTACACTGGCGCGGCGCGATCTTGTACCAAAGCAGCTGCTCTTGCGCAAAAACTTGCTGCCTGTCTACACTGGCCGTGTGTTCTTGCGCCAGTAAACTGATGTTCTACTGTATAAAATCAGGGCTTCTTGCGCAAGAACTATGATGCTCCCACTCAGGAATAAGCCCTCTTGCGCAACTGTTCTTGCGCAAGAGGCCAGTGTAGACAGGCAACACGAATTTCTTGTGCAAGAAAGCCCAATGGTTAAAATGGCCACGAGAGCTTTCTTGCGCAAGAGAGCGTCTACACTGACATGGATGCTCTTGTGCAAAAGCACATTCCAGTGTAGATGCTCTGTTCTGGAAGAGTTTTTGCACAAGAACTCTTTCTCAAAAGAGTTTTTGCGTGAGAACGCACCAGTGTAGACTTAGCCTAAGAGTATAGCCAGTGAATGCAAGAGTCTAATGGCAAAGCTATATAAGTCAACTTGTATTGTGCATTGAATTAGCACATTATATATCCAATTTAATGAATTTGAAATTACCGCAGACATGACAAGCTGAGAGATGTGTGGTATTTCTAATTCTAGATGGCTAAACCAGGTGCTCTCAAAACTTATATAGTTCAGTTCATGTTATAGTAGACAATATATTTCAATTTATTTTCAATCACACAACATCCTTGTGGTAACTGCAGTTATTGTTTCTGTGGCATAATAAAATTAGGGAAATGCTTGTGCCTTTTTAGCTCTCAAAGGAAGTGTGACCTTTTAAAAAGAGAAGTCAACATGCATAATTTTTTTCATCTCCCCATTTCTCTCTACTCAGTTCTGTTCTTTTCTTTATCTTTTAGCTACTTTCTTCCTTTCTTCCTGTATACAACTTTGCCGCAGTTGGGACATCACTTTTAATTCCATTGTTATTGCTGAACCAGAAGAATGCAGCTGCCCTTCTGAATGGTGACAGTTGCAAAGTCATAGCCCTCCCACAGTCGTCCCATAGTGCCCTAACGTGAATTATCTTTCACTGCTAGTCCATTTGCTGGTGGTGACTAGTATTCCCTATAAGGTGTGTGCTTGTGCAGCTGCTCAGGAGAAATTCAAATGCTGCCCAGCTGATTAGGAGAGCATTCACAGCTAGATCTTTTGTTTCTACTAGTAGTTCACATTTACTCAGGCCTCAGTGCACAAAACATTTATTCTGCATATGGATGGAAAAAATTAGAGGGGACATTAGTGAAAGCTCCTGTTTCTTCTCCAGTTTTCATGTATAGGCTGCACTTACTGGTGGAGCTAGTCATATAGTACTGATTCCTAGCACATTCTACAGTCCTCTAGGCTTTCCACAAGTAAAAATCTGGCATTTCTTAGAAGCATCTGACAACTGAAAACAAGCACTAGATGTTTGCAGATGATTGGCAGGTGCTTCTAGGATCACAGTTTGGGAGTTACTGACCTAATTCACATACTAGAATGCATGCTTCAGATGGAGGAACACAAAGCATGCTTGTATATCGCTTTCTTTTACTCAGTGTAATTGAGCTTCTGATTGCTGTCTTTAGTGAACATGAGGAATATCCTAGCCTACATGATATACTTATATGGCATGTTTCATATTTCCAGATATATAGATCAAGGACGTAATCCTCAGCTTTACACGAAAGAATGTCTGGAAAGGGCTTTGGCTAAAAATGAACAAGTAAAAGGAAAAATTGACACTATGAAGGTAAGTTGAGTATAATGCATTAAAAGTATAACTTCTTTATAATAAGAATGGGAACCATATATGAAAAGTGTATGTAAATCGCATTTTTTAAACATTTGTGTGATTATCTAGCTTACCTTCATTAAATGGGTTGCCTTAGTGCTTGTTTCCAATCTTTTTTTTTACTGATAATGCTATAGCTTGTCTTGTAATTATGGTCTCTAATTTTATGGCAAAGGTTAAAAAACAAATTCAAACTTTCATTTCTGTAGCCATGATGACACATTTGTTTAATCTTTATGCCGTCTGTTCAGATAGTTGCCACCTCTTGTGAAGTGCTTTGAGAGCTAATGATGGAAAGTGTGCTATGTAAGAGCTAGACTGTTTTGTTACTGCTATTCCATACACACATTCGGTGTCTGATTTCCTAAGTCGCGAGTATGGTGTGCTCATTCACCCTAAAACATATCTAGGAATAGAGAAAAGCATGAAGGAGACTTTATTAGAAAGAGCTAATTAGAGACTAAAGCGACGAGGAGTCCTGTGGCACCTTATAGACTAACTGAAGTGTAGGAGCATAAGCTTTCGTGGGCAAAGACCCACTTCGTCAGATGCATGCCCACGAAAGCTTATGCTCCTACACTTCAGTTAGTCTATAAGGTGCCACAGGATTCCTCGTCGCTTTTGCAGATTCATACTAACACGGCTACCCCTCTGATAATTAGAGACTAAGTTTGTTTTTGTTGTTGGGTATTGTGACCCAAACAGTTCACCAAAATTCAGGGTTCTTTGGGTTATATAGGTCAGGAAGAGAAACTGATGATGGAGCTTGGTATTGTTGATGCAATCCTCTTCATTTACAAAGAATTTAGTCCTATTTCCTTGAACACAGTCATGTTTCAAGCCTCTTTCAACTAGCAGTCAGCCCAAAATCATGCTCCCAGGGCTTGTTCAGGCTAGGGATGTAAATTTTGATTTGATCAATTAACTGGTTAAATGTTATGTTTAACCGGTTAACTGCTTACATAGAGGTAGGTGGAGGACTGCTCCAGCCTAGCCTGGTTAGAGTGACCCTCTGCCCACAGCAGTTATCCATCCCTAGTTCAGGCTTTGTCTTGTCTGCCTGATGATTTGTTTTGTGGGTGGGTTTTTTTTGGCTTTTCTCTCTTAAACACTGCTGTTAAAGCAGCATCCAGTGAAACCCATCCACCCACGTGTCTTTTGTGTTTTGAATGGTGACTGCTATTATTCCACCTTTCTGGTTTCATAAAGGAGTTGAATACATTTTACACTTTTCTTAAGTGAAGGGCAACTATTTAAATGCACCAGTTTTAACAAGATTTAACCTAACCCATCACAGTATTTTTCCCCTTGTGTGATGTTGAAGGGATTAAATCCAGCTTAAAAAAACACTCTTAAACCCATGAGTGGAGGACACTTAATTAACTTTTATCAGTAATAGCAATCCTACACTTTTCTCCCCTTATGTTTTCCAAATCTTATTTGGCCTCGTTGCATTGTTGCAGATGTATAATAAAAACCTGTAAACTTTGTCGTTAGTAAAATACATCCTTTGTTTATTTTATCTTCAGTGGGAGATGAGGCGTACAGTGACAGATGAAATTATATGGAAGTTGAAGCTGATGACTGTTTTTAAAAAATGTTTTTGGACTGAAAAATTCTTGATTTAGCAATTTTTTTAGGACAAGTCTCGAATACAGACAGACCCCTAACCTGAAGCAAATATTTACCAGCAGCTATACATCACACCTCAGATGCACTTACTAGGGATGTTAGATATCGATTAATTCAATAAGTGGGTACCTGCACAAACTCTTAGTGCTTACATTAATTATTCAATAGTTCCTGGGGATGGGGGCGGCAGCCAATGTGCTCCTGCCGCCATTCTCGGGAAGCCCTCTGCTGTCTGTGCTGCTGGCAGTGATACAGAGGCAGCAGCGCGGGACGGCAGCAGCCTTTGTCCGTGAGGGGTCTGAGCTGCCCCTGGACAGGGGCTAGACAGGTACCCTGCCTGCCCCTCCTGCCCCCCTGCACTGCTGCCTCTGATACATAAAATGGTCTCCAGACTTCAATGGCCTGTCTTCATCCTCATGATGTAGCATTACATACATAAGTGCATTGTTTTGATCCCTTCCGAACTGCTGGGTTTTAGATGCTCTTTTTGCATAGAATATCGGACTTGGTGGACCCATTGTATTCTAACAGAATAATTTTATTCTAACAGAATAATTTTAGGTTTAATTATATAATTCATATTTCTAATGGGAAGGCTTGACTAGTTATGTGTTGGCTCAAGCTTATCAAGTGTGCAGTTTTCTTTTGTTTCTTGAATATTTGATTACTGGTTTGGTTTATATAAAATACAAAATGCTTGAGTTTGCCTCAGCAAATAGATTTGAGGTAGTTACGATGCATAAAGGTTTCGTAGGGCTTGTTTTTTTGACTTGAATACCATTAATTGGTGTCAAGGAATGGTATACCTGTTCCACTATTATCTACTATGTATTTAATAGAGCTTCTGTGTTTGTCCATCTGTTTGAGTCTGTTTGGTCAACAAATCCTCCTAAATGGTAAGAATTAGGATCACCAAATGTGGTTTGCAGTGTCCTCTTATCATAACTTAAAGCAAGGTAAAGGTTTGATTGTGCCAGGATGATGAGATTTGCCTGGAATTTGATTTCTTCCAATAATATAGAAGGGGAGAGGTCTAGCAGGAGGGATAGTTATACTATATAATGACCACAAGGGGACAGACATGGGGACTGGGACTGCTGTAACCCAATGGGCAACAGGGGGCAGATGTGGAGAAAAGGACAATAACCTACTATATATTTAAGTCTGTCTGTCCCCTAGTTGGGGGACATACACCCCTCCTCTGTCTGTGTCTGCTGCAGCAGTCATGGACAGGGACTTCTCCCCTGGTCCCAAATTGCTATGGTGACAAAGGGCTGGGGTTGTCTTCTGTCCCCGGGGCAGCCTGCATTTCCAACCCCATCCCAGAGCAATGATTTAAATGAAGAAAAACAAAAAATGTTTCCGTTAAGGAACTGAGCATCACTGGGAAATCCTCTAGTTTGGAAATATTTCTGTTATTCACCGCATAACTTATTCTGTTTGACAGGCTCCAGTGAATGGCCAATATTTTTATATTCTAAAATCTTTTTTCATTCTAGAAATTTAAAAGCCTGTTGATTCAAGAACTGACTAAAGTCTTCCCAGAGGATATGGCCAAATACAAAGCTATTCGAGGAGAAGAACCTCCTCCTTAAGACTGCCTTTGGAATATTCTAAGATGCTGAATGTTTTCATGGAACTGACAATCTCCTGTTGTGAAAATGTTGAACTCGTGGGAGGGAGGAAGAACTTAAGTCTTCCTAGTAGGTATGTTTGTGTATGTCATGGTTATGGATTGTGAGGGAGCATGATTACCACTCACTGTTTTTCAAAAGCAATTATATTTTCCAACAGACTTTTATACATCTAAAGATTGCATTGAAACTTCCTCTGCTACTGTGGTATTCTTTCCACAAAAGGTGTTTGAGGCATGTGTGTGACTAGCAAGCTACTATACATAATTTCCCACACTTCTAGAACGGAAAAGAATTTTTAAATATATATTTTGAATGATCAAGTGCCATAATGTGGATAAATACACTTGTTTTGCAAGCTAGTTATGCTTTATTATTGAAATAGGCTGTATCCTATCTCCTGGGGGACATAATTGGCCACTGTTAACTAGCTGTTTCAAACCATTTATAAAAATATGATTCAGCGGGATTTTTTTCTAAATTTCTGTTGAAATGGAAATTCATTGTAATTGTAATTGTTGTCATCCACAACCAAAAAGTCCCCTTCAGTGCTGTGAATGGAAGGACTGGTGGCTGAGGATGGAGAAACTGAACATTTTCAAGAATGGCATCCCAGCAGTACTTATTTTGTACAGTGTTGTTTGATGTAGTAACAGATTCTTTGTTAAATAACTGTCACATTTTCTTTGAGAAAAATATATAATAAAGACTTTGAAATGGATTTTGTAGCTAGTTTTTCTAGTATGTTTCTGTTAATAGCATCCCAATATATCTTTTTCAAGAGACTAGGAAAGCTAGTACAAATTAGCAGAATGCTCAGAATAATAGAAATCATGTTAGCATATTCAAATCTTTAGAGAAGTCATAGATTAGACTCAATAGGATAAAAAAAAACCTTGTTACTTGTGAGTCTGTATTTTCAATGAACACTTCTTTCAAATTTTCTCAGCTACTGTTGATTGCAGATGCTCCTTCTTGCAGGAAATATTAACTAGGTAACCATGCAGTGCTGTACAGTACTGTACACAGTGAAAGGGCTAGCTTCACATTGGAAAAGACAGGAAACATCAGTTATTTTACCATGTTAGGAAAGTGTCTAAATAATAACAGATGTGCCTCTTGTTCTAGTACTTAACATTTCACTAATGTTGGTCTGTATATTGAGATTTAATTTCACTTTGAGAGTTGAAATAATTCAGCAAGATTTTAAATGCATTAGTTACCACAAATTACTCACTTACCATTAGTACTATATAAATAGAAAAACGATGAGAAGTCCTGTGGCACCTTAGAAACTAACAAATACAGTATATCCTGAAACACACACACACACACGCGCATGCACACAAAATAAATAGAAAATGCAAAGAGGTGTTATGTTCTATTTGCATTAGTTTCAAGTGATTTATAAAACACTCGTGAATGTCACACTTGCACACACAGCATCTACATGTTTTCTGTATATCTAGCTTTAATAAATCCACAGCAATGTTTGGTGGTACAAGTTTTCTTAATTAACAGAAGAGATGATAGGAATACAGTGAGTGAAGGCAGTGTAAAGTCCAGATTGCAGTAAGTACACATACTGTTGAATTAGTCATTCATTTGTAGCCAGATCATCTTTCTTGGCTTATCCTTCCTCAAATGGTTATGATATCAATTTGAAACATTTTATTTGTTCTCTTTCTGAATTCTTTTCTAATTACAGTAGACTTCAGATAATCCGGCACCTTTGGGACCTAGGTGGTGCCAGATTATCGGATATGCCAGAGTATCAGGAGGTAATACTGCATATTCCCAACCCAATCTCCCTCTCCTGCCCCACAGCTCCCATCTTATACTCGGGTCCCGGAACGTCCGGTACAGATGTGTGTCTTCCTGAAGGCACTGGGGCACGTGCACTGAGCAGCTGGCTGGGACGTGGTGTGCAACCCAATCCCCCTTCCCTTCCCTGGAGCCAAGCACTTCTCCTCCCTGCTGTAACCCGAGCCCCTTCCTCCTCCCCTCCCCCTGCCCCAACCTTATGCTCGAGTCCGGTACAGCTGCACATCTCCCTCCAGTCACTGGGGCACATACCTGAGCAGATGGCTTTTCAATCAGCTGGCCAGGACACTGTGAGTAACCCAGTCCCCCTCCTGCTCCCCGGAGCCAGACACTTCTCCCTGCTGTAACCCATGTGAGAGCGGCTGACCTGAGCGGTTCCGGGTTTTGTCCCGGTGCTATCAGGAGTGCTTGCCATTTTGATGCCTGACTATAGAGAGTGCCGGACAATTAGGTGCCAGACTATTGGGGTTTTACTGTACCCCAAATGAGTATTTGCCTCTTATTTATAGTCACAAATTTTAAGCATATGTATTTTGAATGGCATTTTGAAATTACACCTGAATCTAGTTTTTAAATCGGAACAAAAATTTTTCAGTTTGAAAATGTTTTCAAAGATGCAGTGAATTTAATTCATGAGACATTTTACCTTTTGAATTTTGCATTAATTGTGTTTTGCAAAACTCTGTGGTAAAGAATGTAAACATAAAATATTCTACTCACTCGTGAGGGGAAACCTGCAGTATGTTCTCCTAATCCTCTTGAAATACTTTAATTTTTGCTTCATACTTGCCTCTCATGATTTAATGCCTTGTAAGAGAAAAATGTGATTATGATGCATCTCTAGCTAACCTATGATCTGACTGTTTTTCCACTTACTCATGATGTTCCTTGTTGGGGTCAAAATCTAGTTCTAAATAATTCCTAGTTCTTATGAGCTTGCAAACAATATTAACTGCAAAAAGAAGAAAACTGCATGGCTTAAGTTGCATTTTTCTTATAACTGGGTGAAAAATGTTGGCTCACTTTTTTTCATATTAATCATGTTCATGCCTGTCTTTCAATTGATTATTTGTTAAAATTGGTTGAATAGTGAGGTCATTATTTATTAAACACATCCCTTAAAAGTGCTAATCATTTCTTTAATGCCTTTCCAAGGTTCCAGCACAAAATCCAATGACAATTTCTTACCAATATTTGATTTGTTGACAAATAACTGATTATCTAAGATTGCATATTCCACTCATCACCATGATAGCTGACTACCATGGTCACAGTTTTTCACTTGATAATAATTTGATCTGATCCAGGATACTAATTGCAGGGTGAACTAGCAGTGCTGCCTGTATTTAGTTATCTAACACTTTCTATTATAAGACCCTGTTTTCAACTGCTTATAACTTTAACCAGCTGTGTTGAAATTTTTAATCCTCAAGCTATATTTTATTTTGATTAAAAAAAATTCAGTAATTTCTGATAAGGATAACCGGGAAGATTAAGATACAAAAAATATTGGCTAAGAAAAAAAAATTAAATCCATTTTGTGCAAAAGCTCTAGCTTCTCTTTGAGTAGGAATTTGGATAACGTGTTTGGGGCACAGACCACCTTTCTGATATATTTGTAACCTGTTTTGCCTAAGACCAAATAAATTGGAAAACATTCAGGCTTTTTAAATAAAAATATTGCTGTTTGTGGGAGACTGGCTAACCTACATTTTTAGACACCTTGAAAAAAATCTCATGCAGCTTTCAAAGTGACATTTAATGATACTGCTCAGGAAAGTTGTGATTTATTTGTGAATTCCTTCTGTTAGGATCAGTTAAATATTGGAAATCTTCCAGACATTGGATAGTTCTCTTTCTTTGTATACAATTACTAATTGCTTCCGAAATAAGCAAGGATACCGCTTACAAAAAATTCCTTCAAACCTATCAGTATCTGGTGCTTTGTCATTTTTCAAGTCATTATTTGGTCATTTTTCTTGAAAATGTTATGGGGAATTCAACCTGTTCTGTTTGTGCTAATTAACTATGGAATGCTTTTGAACTTATTCAGAAAAGAATTAACTTTTTACTCTTATCTGATTTTACCTTTTTCCATATAAACTTTAGTTGAATCCTTTAGCAACTTTGGTCTTTGTACATTTTGTATATTTTTAGAGGGTCTAATTTTAATCACGTATAGATGGCTGTTGCTGTATTAATCAGTAGGCTGGGTCTTCTGATTTTGTTTCCATGTTCAAAATACTCTTGTTTAATATGTGCACTAGTCAGTATTATTATTTAGCATGGTGAACAACTAGTCTAATTGTAAAAACAAAACAATTTGAAAAACAAGCTTGTTTACAGGTAACATTTCCCTAATATATTTACAAAACTCTAGTATATAAGGAAGTGAATGCTTTAACTCAAGTACAGTGAAATGCAATATCATCACAACTTGGACAATTGCTTTTAGAACTATTAAATCTTAGAACAATTGCTTTATTCAAGAGATGTCACTTGAATTTGAAGGCCAGAAGTATTTTTGTTTGACGTTACAAGCTGCGAGGTCAATATCCCTTAACTACAGTGAAGATTTTATAATTACTTCTAACCAGGGTAGTTAGATGATTTAAACCAATAAGCAGGAAACCTTGATGTAAATAGTTATTGTTTTCCATTCGCATTTTTAGGTTGTTTTCCTAAATTTTTTTTCATTGTTGATTTAATATAAAACTAAATCCAGTTTTTACCCTAGATTTCACACCACTTTTGTTAACCAGGAGAATACATTAACTGAACATTTAACATACATTCATTCATCTTCTTGATTTCTGCATCTTTTATTGTTAAGTTTACTAGGTAATTAATTAAGTTTTATTTAACTAATAAAATGTGCTGATACATACATCAGATGAAACAATGTGTTGCTGCATATCAGAGCTGAAAATACTGACATTTGAAATAAAGTATTCACACCATTGTAAAGACTAAAAATGGTGTGCGTATTTTGTGCACTACATAGACCATATTTATAAAGTTTGACTTTAAGTTAGATGCTTTCTCTCCCCCCAGATTTGTGTATATAAAAAGAATGTTTTTAACTCATTGCTTAAAGTTCTTGAAATGGATTCATGATTCAGCATATCTTTGTATTTATTTAAATGATGAATAGAATATACAGGTTGCATCTCTATAAACTTGGAACTCTCTGGTCTGGCAACTTATTATGGATTTGAGGGATGGCCAGCAGCCTGGGGACTAAGGGGCTAACTGTACCTAGCCAGGTAGCAGTCTGTCAATAGAAATGCAGATAGGGATTTCAAACTGAGACAAAGGAATTTTTGGGTTTTCCCTCCTTTGACTCTGAGTCAGTTTGTTCTAGATACTGAGGGAGACAGAAGACTCGTCTCTCTGAGAGAGACTCTTCATAATGTGTAAGTAGGGTAAAGTTTAGATAAATCTGTTAGGTTTTATTGTTTTCTGTTGTGGAACTTTGGATCTGATGTCTGTGCTGTTAGAAATAGGTTTTCCTGTCTTTTGTAACTAAGTTTTGAGCCCATAGGAAAATTCTCCATGAGTTTATTAATTGGTGGCTCTTACCATCTAGCCAGTCCAACTATGCTTGTAACAGGAGTATTGTTTTGATGATAAAAGTTTTATTTTTTTATTAACCAGGTATTGGTTCAGTTCTATGTCCTGGAAAATCTGTCTGTGGATATCTGCATGCCTCTGACTAGAGAGCAGCAACCACAGACTGCAGTTAATATTTTCTTTCTTTTTCAAGCTCTTTGGAGAAAAGTGGGGTGCCTTGAGGTTGGTTTCAAGTGTCCACCTGCATTTGTGGGTTCAAAAGCACTTGTGGTGGCTGTGAATTTTTTTATCCCCAAAATCTAGGCTTAGGATTTTGGGGGGAAG